AGCCAGATCTGTGTTTGAATCCCAGATTAGAAACTCTGTTGGATCCAGGAAGAGCATTCATTTTCACCTTTTGGAAAAACAGCTCCTCTTAGCCCCCCTGCATTCTGTCAACAGGAGTTAGTATTTTTGATTGGGCTCAATTTTTGAATTCTTGACATTTTGTTTATACTGGAAAAACACGATTTTGTGGAACACAGACACAACCTTAATCACACTTGCATGTTCATTTAATTCTCAAAGAAGTGCCATGGTTTGAATTGATCCCTAGAAATTCCCTTTGCTGGAGACTTAATCTGAAGTGACTGATAAAAGGTTATTAGGTCAGAAGGGCACTGCCTTCATGATGGATGAATGTTCTTATCATTATTGCAGCAGTAGATTGTAGTAAGTTCTGCCCTCTATTTTTACCTTGTGGGGCTAGAAATTGAACCCAGGTCCTTTCACATGCTTGGTAGGCAGGCGCTCTACCAACTGACCCAGCCTCAGTCCAGTTCTGCTTCTGTTATTCTTGCTCCCTTTTGCACCTTTTACCTTCTGCCACAGGATGACCTAGTACAAAGGCCCTCCCTCTCCAAATACAGGAGCATTGCTCTTGGTCTTCCCAGTCTCCAAAACTATGAGCCAAATAACTTTCAGTTCACTATACATTTTCTAGTCTCAGGCATTCTGTTATAGCAGCAGCAAACAGACTAAGGGAGGAAGGCATTGTTTTTAAAACAAAATAAACCATTTATGGGTAAGATATCTGTTTTACTGAGACCTAGTTTTTACAAAAAAAAAATGGTTCAATCCTAAAGAAATGGTAAAATAAAAATCACCATCATCAGGGCACAACTTATTTAGAAATTTAGCCTCAAATTCACTGGAGACCAACTGGATCATCCAGTCTGACCTAATTTCTTGACCCTGGTTCCCTCTTGCTTTCTTGTCATACTGGAAAACTGAGTATAAATTCAAGTAGAAAAAAAAAAAGAAAAGAAATCCACCCAGGAGCTGTTAAACATGTATCTATGCAGTAAATCTGTGTACCACTGTGTAATTATAATAACATAAACAACTCCACTATAAGGACATTCACATCAGACCTAATTTCAGACTGAACTATTATAATGCAATTAACAGGCTCATAGTCCTGTTTTAATTAAGCTCTGTTGTGAAATATGCAGCATTTGAACCTGTTTCGGCCTGCTCTGTCTGCCATTGAATCACCATCCTCAACTTGTTTTTCTGCCCAACAATGAATTTCATTTAAGAATTACTGTTCAAAGGGACTGGCATTTTGTGAATTCCTTTAAGTTTCTGTGCCTCCAGATTGAGGCCAACTTTAGCTCTTCCGATGTGTCCTATATGTGTGTAGTCTCTTGATTCGGTTGTCTCAATAGATTTATTAACTCACGCTGGGCTCTCCTAGAAACGAAGAGATATATTTGATTGGTTGAGTGCAAGAAATTTCAGATGACAGGAGAGAGACTTGTGGGGCTGACTTCAGATTATGTAGGACACAGTAGCTGTCTCCAACCCAGCCCTTTGCAGAAATACCAAGGGATCTCCAATTTTCCATGGCTATTATTCAGTTTGCCAAATAGTTTAACCATTACTCACTAGAGAATGGAAAACAAAAGTACTTACAGAAAATGCAGTTTATAGAAAAATCATATCCTTCTTTCTTCTTTTTATCCCTCACCTACCCTGGGCAAGAATGTCTAAGGCTGGCTGGGATTTGCCTTAACAGATCTTTCCCATCCTCTATTTGGATTGTCTTCATGACCTTAAATAATATTAAGTGAGCACTATTATATGGGAATGCTTGGCTTGGTGATCAAATGTCACAGGTCAGCATGCTGAGCCGCTTATTCCTGGATGGCTAGATTTCAGGACACAGATTTAAAAGTGGAGAGAACAGAGTTGCAGAGAATCGTGCTCAACATCACAGATGGCTCAGAAGTAAGCCACATGACCTAAGAAAACAAGGACAGTGATTTCTTCATCCCTCCCCACCTCCGTTTCCACCCTCTGATCAGCTGCCCTTGAGATTTGGTCCCTGTTATAAAACATCCATGTTCTTCTCCTTCTTTTTCCTTTTCCTTTTTACCTTGTCCTACTTTCTTAACCCCAGGGAGGATTTGAAGAAGGTTTTAAAGCTAAGCATCCCCAATTGCTTGAGGCTGTGTTTGGTGGTAAGTCAGAATGGGAAGCAAATTACCTGTAGGGTAGGGTGTTTTCATGGCCACAGTGAAAGCCCTCAGAACAACAGCAGGTAACTGAAAAGGTTCTTTCTCCCTGTGTGAACATCTGGCTCAGCTCCTTCAACCACTTCTACGGAGGTTTCATGAGTTACTCACCCCCTCTCCTGTGGCTCTCTCTCTTCCTTTCCAGAAGGAGGCATGTTCTCAAACAGCAGTGGAACCTTAACTCGTGGGCACACCTTACCGCTAGGTGTTCTGAGTGTCCTGATTATCTTAAGCACTGGCTACTAGAAATTCTGGAAAGGACCACGAATGCTTTAGCACTAGACCTTCATGGCTTAAAATGTCTTTCCTAGTTAACCTTCACAGAACCTTGGGAACACCCATAAGAAGTTAGTAGAATTGAATGTCCTCAGTACTTGGACTGTCGCCTCTATTTCAGCCAAGTTTTCACCCGGACCCAATAAGCTTCTACGTTGTCATTTTTACTTGACACATTATAATTCTACATCTTTACGGGGTACAGTGTGATGTTTTGATACATGCATACAATGTGTCATACTCAAATTAAGGTAGTTAGCATGTCTGTCACCTCCTTTACCGTTCATTTCTTTGTGGTGAGAACATTCAAAATCCTCCCTTTAGCTATTTTGAGATATTTAAGGCGATATTGTTGACCATAGTCACTCTACAATGCAATAGAACACTAGAACTTGATCCTCCTGTCTGACCATGGCTTTGAACCTATTGATCAGTCTCTCCCTATCATTTCCTCCACAGCTTCTGGTAACTACTAGCTACTTTTCTGAGATCAGCTTTTTAGATCCCGGGTATGAGTGGGACGATGCTGTATTTGTCTTTCTGTGGCTGGATTATTTCACTTAACATAACATCCTCTGGGTTCATCCAGGTTGCTGCGAATGACAGAATTTTATCCTTTTTATGGGTCGTTAGTCGGCTTTTTCTCTTCTGTGATCAAAATATCCGATAAGAACAATTCAGAGAAGGAAAAGTTTATTTTGAGATTATGGTTTCCAAGATTCAGTCCAAGGTCAACCGGCTCCAGGGTGAGGCTCAAGGTGAGGCAGGACATCATGGCAGATGGGCGTGGAGGAAAGAACGGCTCAGCTCACGGGGGCGGGAAACAAAGAGAAAGAAAGATGGGCTATTCCAAAGATGCACCCTTCCAGGACACACATCTACCTCCTCCAGCCACATGCCACATGCACACAGTTAGTGTACAGCTCTCATGATCTTATCATCCCACCTCTCAATGTTTCTGCATTAACACAGGAGCTTTGGGGGGGCACCTCATATCCAAACCATAACACGACCAGATAGTATTCGATTATATACACGTATCCCATTTTCTTTGTTCATTCATCCATTGATGGACACTTACATTAATTCCTTATCTTTCTTTTTTCCTTGAGACCCAATTCAAACCTCACTTTGGCAAGTTTGCTTCTGCACATTTGTCACTATCAAACTGACCTGAAGTTAAATGTGGGTCAATGTCTTACCGGTAATTCCTGCTACATTGTTAGTCTCTGGACCTGTTTATATTGTCTCAAAATCATATCTGTCAAAGGATTCTCTGTTTTTAATCATATGAGATGTCCCTCTTTTATGTTCTTCAAATTCTTTCAGGACATTCTCAACTTCTTTTTCTGTCCGTCCAGATTTTAATCAGGGCTTTGAATTTCCAAAAGAAAAGTCACTAACTGGAATCTTCAGAGCTTATTGTTAATAATAGACCTGACTTGAATTTAATAGTGATTAGCCAGAATTTTCTTTTATGTTATTAAATCCATATTTCTGATGATTTAAAGTATTTGTAAGCCATATTAAGAGGAGTTAACTTTGAAATAAACACACATTTGACATGGACTTTCTGGAACAATAGATAAATGCTTTCTGTTGTAGAAAGAGCCAATGAGGAAAGAATTTCTTCAAAGCTTTTCTCTATTTCTGAAACTAGGGGTACCTGTGAATATGGTAATGGAAAATTTTAGAAAGCTTCTATATAACTCAGAAATTACAGAAAAGACGACCAAAGTATCTGAAGACCAGAAGTTTGTCAGCCAGGAACAAATTTTAGAGGGGTATAGTCTAATCTCCATCCCCAATATTTTAAACATGTAATAGGAAAGTGTCTTTCAACTCATTCATAATTCAATTAACATTACTGAAGGCCCCACAGGGCACTTCATATTAGACAATGAAATCGTTACCTGAGAAAACCTACTGGAGAATAAAGTCCAATAAGTACGAAAGTCAGAATTGCCACAAAGCAAAACTAGTAAATACATACAGCATACAAAAGTCCTGGCTGTGCATCTCAGTACAATGGATCTTTAATGCATCCTGTGCCCTGTCTTAGTGATGTCAGAAACTTAGAATCCAGCACAGTACAAGTAAGTTAAAAAGAGCAAAGAGTTCTTTTGGATGAGAAATCACAAACACCCATTCATAAAACCACCCGTAAGCATTTTTGTTAATCAACACTGTCATTGTTACAGCCTGCTTGATCTTCCTACTTTGGGTTAATATGGGAGCCAATTACAGCTTCATCTGTGTAGAATTAACTTTATGGAGCACACACCGGGGATTTGTCTATCTTCACTATTTAGATATATGCCATAAAAATATGCATGGAATTGAGTGCAAGTACTGCAGATGGCAGAGACTTTCAGATTTATTGTAAAATCATTTAAAATCGGTTATGCTCTTGCCAGAAGTTAATTAATTTTTTTTTCTGTTTCTTTCTGGGGCTGGGGGACTGGGGTGGGGGGGGGCTTTGGTTCTCACTAGGTGGCAGTGTATGATTACATCTGGAAAAGCCATGGCATCAAGTCCAGTGTCTCCAGCTGTGACCTCCAACATCAGAATGAAATCTCTGGGTCTGCACTTGGTCCAGAAGAGGTTACTTCTCATGTGTCTATATACAGTGTTTATCCCAGTGGGTTCCAAGAGCTGTACCGCCATTTTCTCAGGCTCCCCGGTGGTGCCATTGTTGAGGTATGTGTATTTGAAAATATTTTGCTGTAAATGCTGTGTGTATTGTAGTGCATGGATATATAGATAAGTATAGGCATAATATGAGTGTGATTTCAAAGGTTCCAATGTTACTTTGCAGACATATTATAACTAATGTTTCTAATGCGGTAGGGGGCTTGAGGATGTGTTTCAGTTTTTGCCTAAGTACACAAAGATAATATATGGGGGGTGAAGTTTCTGTTTGAAACTTCAGAATTCTGCCTGTGATAACTTCTACTCAGGTTACATTAGTAAACATCACAGGTTGATAAGAAAGAGAGTTCTGTGTTGTGGACACGGGCATGCCTCGGGAAGTGCACACTCCTTTGCTTAAATGAGCTCACACAAAGTGAATGAAGTGGTGGCATCTTATCCTCCTTCCCCCCCACCCTGAAAAATCTTTCAAGCTATAGAAACATACATAGTCTATAAATATTTAAAAATATTTTAAAAGGAGCATTATCTCAGAGTCAAGTTTCCTCCTAAGAAAGTCCATCAGCAGACGGGCTGATTTTGAGTTTCAAAAGAAATTTCATATGACAACATATTCTGAGTATCTAAATTTACAGCCTATTGAAATCTGAAGCTCTGTCCCATTCTTTTAAGTGCTGTTCAATCATGAAGTCTGAGGAAGTGTTATAATTTGGTGGAAATGAACAATACAGGAGGAAAAAAAAACTGAAGATACACAGCACGTTTGGTTCTCTGAGCTCTGTGGCATGCAAATTACTAAAAAGTGACATAAAACTAGTTAACTGGAATTGGAAGGATATTTCTGTTCCCACCGCCATCCCTTTGAACTTTAGCCTTTTGTGTTGTTTGTTGTTGTTGTGAAGTCAATGGAAGTGTGTCCTCATAAAAATCCCTTTCAACATAACCTTGAGGAAATTTCAAATTGTTCAGAGTCCAGTCTTGCAGACAGGGGACTTCTCCTTTCTACTATACCAGTGTTCAACAGTATTTGAACACTTAAATCATCATATAGGCATTTTAAAAGGCACAGGTGAGCCAGAAAAGATTCCCCTGAGCTCATCCTCCTCGCACTCCTACCAAGGTACACTATAAGAAAGAACTGTACATATCACAACACAGCAATAGGTAAGCAGGTGAAGATTGTATCCAATGTCATTCTTTGGGAGTTTGGCTGCTATTGGTACTTCTGCACAGGATTCTTCTTAGACTTCTGAAACATTTGCTTTTGAAACCTTTTTGCAGAACAAACTGCTGGGATGAACCTTTTTTTACAAAATTTGCAAAATGTGCTTAAATATGTGTGCACTGAAATAACACAAAAAGCAGAGACTCCAGCATTGTCTTTCTGCTACAAATCATCCTGCAGTTCCTGCAGTCCCGGAGCCCCAGCAGAGAGCCCAGGTGGAAGGTATCCTGGTATCAAGAGCACAGTGACCACCAGGGCCCTTTGATTCATTCTTTCATTTGCCCCATAACCTTGGCTTAGTCATTTCTCACTACTCTGCCTATTTCCTTATCTGTAAAACTGGGTTATGAATACTTATACTACCTGGCTCACAGGGATTTGGGACAGATTAATGAGATAACATTTGCAAGTACTTTTAGCTCTTTTTTTTTTAAGGTGCAATAAAGATCACAAAATATTATAGATCACAAACAATTAGATTCACTCTACTTCTAAACATCTTTTCAAGTGCTCATAATGACATTATGCCAAAAATATACTAGCTTCACTTTTGGAAGAATTCAGAGGTGGGACTATAGGCTTGTCGACATACTTGATTCTTTTATTACCTTTGATTTCCACAGTGTTGTCTATTATAACAGTAAGTGGTGGACCTGGGCGTTGGTAGGATCCTGTGACCAGCTGAAATTCCAGCAAATACTAAACCCTCTTTCTCCCTTTTCCAAATTTCAGCACATGAATGCGGTCTAGCCCATTCTTGGGTATGCAGTTTATAGCTACCCGTTTATTTCTTCATGCTTGACTCTATCTGCCTCTTGTTCTATGAAATCTTTAAAATTGTTCTGAACTGAATTATCCCCTTGCCCCTTCTCTCCACTTATAGAGAGTACTAGATTTTATTCTTTAGCCTTTCTACACTTGTTTCCAGTATTAAATTGTGTCCTGTAGAGGACAGGAACCATAAAACAAGACCTGTCCTAGAGAAAATTGAGGATTACACAGTTCATTTGCAGGCACCTGTATGGCTGTTCACCCACCTTCCTTCCTATCCCTCCTGACCCCTAACAGACACTGCCAGGTCTTTTATTGGCCTTTTGAGCTATAAAACCTGAATTGGAAGGGATTCTGGCATATTTTTTTTTTTTTGAGATCTCAGTGAAAAGAAGTCCACATATAATCTTTCCCTATATATATGCATTGGAAAGAAATTTCAAATATCAGCATATAGGTAGATTTATATTTTCTGGATGAAATAAAAAATCCCTTAAAGTTTTAAAAATAATGGCTTATGAGCTGTCACCTTCTCGCTTTAAAGTTAACGTCAATCCTTGAATTCTTTTTCTTTATCTTTGTATTAAATACAGACTCGATGCTCAAGAAAATTCATCCAAAATTGTACTGGATTTTTTGATTCCAAATTATGCTACATGATTGGTAATTAGGCACCATGAGATTCTTACCATCTCACAATACTCACACCGTATTACGTGAAAGAACCTGAATTTAGGATATAACTTAGACCCGATTAGAGATATAGTAAGATCCATGCCACATTTTGGTCAGATATTCTGGTGTGGGAAGAAACAAGCAACTGTGTCTGGGTCTAATTTATTTACAAATCAGATATAGCAAGAAATAAGCAACAAAAGCTTCATTCCTAGAACCTAAACCCTATTCTCAAAGATTTTATGGTGGTTTTTACACATGGTATCCAGTAATTTAAGTTCGTTTTGTATGAACAACTTACAACTCAAAGCAATTTCTAAGCCTCTCCCATTTCTGGTATGAAATATAGGTCAAATATTAACCTTTTTGCTTTTTTCTTCTCCACAAGATCCTAACTTTTTGAATTGGAAGCAAATATATAAGTTTTTATTTGCATGGAAAGCTACACTTCTGGAAAAGAATTAATTCTGCTCAAAAGATATCATATGTCATGAGTCTGCAATGAAAGTTCGATTGCAAACAGAATTCCCCATAGATACGCATTCATAATCTTTTGTATGCCCCACCTTATGACCTAAAGCAACACAGCTCTTATGGTCTTCCACATATTTTGCTTTTAAAGAAAAATTCCCTCTCTTGCTTGTCAGAGCTGGTCATTTGTTCAAGTGCAGGGAGCCCTTCTCCTGATTCTCTACTAAGTCAGTCCCTCTGGGCGCCATGGATTCCATGGAGTCTACACAGAGGAACTGTGTGGTCTCTTTGTTGCATGGCTAAGGTTATCCTGCAGTGTTCACTAAGGACAAAGTTATTGTAAAGTTTTTAGAGCTACAAAACCTAGAAACCCAGGCAAGACTGGTGCACTTTCATCAAGTTACAAATAAGCTTCCGGATCCCAGGGTATCAGTCGCAATTAAGAAAGTCCTTGGAGCATTAGTTCGGGTGGAATGGGAAAACGGGCTTTTTTTTTTTGTCATTAGAGGCAGTGTCGCCTGGTGGTCTGAGCAGGGAACTGGGAGCCAGGAACTCAGCTATCTAAGGAGGCTCTGTGAAGCCCTTGTGCGCGGCTTTAGGCAAGCAGTGAGGTCTCAGGAGGCCAACCTCACCTACTTTGAAGCTCCCATCTGAAGAGCTCCTTACCCAGGGCCAGGGGAGGCACAGCAGGAGGCCTGATTCCTTGTCTGCAAAATTAGAATATTAATACTTGCCTCAATAACAGATTAACCAATTAGTGATTAAGTGTTCTGCCTGATGGAAAGCAGCAGGAGAAGAGAGGAGACAAGGAAAAACTGAGACACAATTTTATTATTAGATGGGTCTGACTCCACTCTGGGTTTTTATCTGCTGCACAGGGAATCCAGGGCCTTCAAGGTGCCAAGAGCAGGTGTGCAGAGATTGGCCCTCAGATTTTATTCCCCTCAGTGTGAAGACAGACGATGGAAGGAGCTGAACGTCCCTCAGGTCCCCAGGAAGCTTTCAGTAAATGGGGAGGAGACACACTTTGTCCTTGAATCAATGAATTAATTGCAGGACAAAACTTTAAACAAATAATTGAGAGATTTTTCTGCCTTAGCTAGTCTGTTTTAATTTGTTATTTAGCCTATTTGGAAATTTTCATATCCATATTCTACAAAAAACAAACAAACAATTTGCAGTGTGCGTGCGTGCGTGTGTGTGTGTGTGTGTATGTGTGTGTGTGTGTGTGTGAGAGAGAGAGAGAGAGAGAGAGAGAAATGCATAATAATGTGGAAGATGAATCAATAAGAAAATATGGAATTGTGGAGCCTATAAACCACATTCATTAAATTAATACAAATTATTGATAATATCATACTTTTTCAGAGATAAAACTACCCCATCATTTTTTTTTTCCCCTTTTGTTGAAAGTCTGGCACATGAGAGGAAAGCCATTCTCATTTCCTATTGTGCATAGACTTAGACTGCTCTGAAGATAACATGAAAATTAATTCACTTAAACAAAATGGAAGACAGTCACAGTTTCATTGTCCAGACTTTTAAGACATTTGACATTGTGTGCCCAACACCCGCGTAAGAAGTAGTATATCCTTTGGGCACATAGTGCTTCATAAGACAAAATTAAAAATAAACATTAAAAGGAAATAGTAATAGCAATGCTAATGGCTTTGCATAAAATAATGCTCAAAAGACACTCATATCTCTTACTTCTGGATTTCAAATTCAAACTTAATAGTTGCCACTTCTGTTGATTGTTTAAAAATAAGATCCTGGTACTATTTTGCCCTTTCCTTTCACTAAGAATAATTGTCTATTTTAACTAAGCTGTAGAGGATATAATTTTGTTATATCTAAAACTCAGACCTTATTATGAGCAAATATTTTTTAAAAGAAGAATGCAAGA